CTCCCTCTCTCCCTCCCTGTCTCTTTATTTCTCTCTCTTACTCTTTTGCTCTGTCCCTCAGGCCGGTGCGGGCGCGAGAGCCCCTGCGAGCAGCTCTGCTTTGAGCTCCACGACGGCATGTTCGAGTGCGAGTGCCGCGAGGGTTACGTGCTTCACCTCAACGGCTACGGCTGCCTCGGTGAGTAGAAGAAATTGGCTCTCATGCGGCCAGAAACATAATTCAAAAAAATAGTACGTGTGAACTGTTTTGTCAGTGTAACCTAACTTAACAGTTCTGTGTAAAGGTGATATCACATCGCAACTTTATCGCAAGGAGTAGCGTAAAATATTTGATGTGCACTATAAAGCGAAGTTGAGGAGAGGTAGTCTGGCCACTATACAACCTTGAATGACGGCTAATAAGCTATTGGACTGGAGGACGGGAAGAGCGGCAACCACAACGAGAGAATGATGAAGGGGGCCTTTGTGTTGTGGTGGGGTAATTAGAAGTATCGGCGGGGAACTGGAAGCTGTGCTCTGCGATAAAATAATTACGAAACTTACAAGTAAATTCACTGATAAACTAAGTGTTCAACTGATAAACTGAGACTCGTTGTGCCTCACACCAAATGGTGTGAGACCCTCTGTGCCTCACACCATTTAGGATGAGGAAGTATCTATCCACTTGCTGTGAGGCACAACGAGTCTCACACCAATTGGTGTGAGGCATAACGAGTCTCACACAATTCGGTGTGTGGTATTTTGCCTCACACCATTTGGTGTAAAACTGTCTCACACCTGAGTTTCCAGAGTGTACACAGGATTACGTGATTACATGGATGACACATTTGTTGTGAGAGATTTCACATGCATTTTTGGGACTAAGAACGTTAAATTTTAATAAATGAGTAAATTTTAGTGATAATTTTTCAAAATTTGGTTAAGTATTACACAAATTACATAGGGATTGCACTTCCATCCGTACACAGTATTACAGGAGATGGTAGCCCCCCCGCCTTTTGCATGGTGTCTTTGTGCATATGGGCCCCTAGCTTTATAACTGCACACAATTTTCCGCGTGGTTGGCGCGAGCTCGTGGAGTGGACAACTCAGGGAGTAAAGTGTTCATTCATTGTTGGGCTGCTACCTAGACGTAGCCCGAAAATGCGACAGGTGGTGTTGAACCATGTCGTTGCTCTGCTCCTCATCCCCTGCACCGCGGGGTGTGGCGGTGGCGGGGCGGGGCGTGGCGAGGCT